GTTGCCCTGGCATACCTTCCACTGGTTGCCCTGTTCATACCTTTCATGGTTGCCCTGTGCATACCTTTCCACTGGCTGCCCTGGTATACCTTCCACTGGTTGCTGGTATACCTTCCACTGGCTGCCTGGCATACCTTCCACCTAGCTGCCCTGATCCTTCCACTGGTTGCCCTGCATACCTTCCACTGGCTGCCCTGGTATACCTTCCACTGGGCTCGTATACTCCTCACGGTTGCCCTGATATGCACCCACTGGCTGCCCTGGTATACCTTTCACTGGTTGCCTGATATACCTTCCACTGGTTGCCCTGGTATACCTTCCACTGGCTGCCCTGATATACCTTTCACTGGCTGCCCTGGTATACCCACTGGTTGCCCTGGTATACCTTCCACTGCTGCCCTGATATACCTGCACTGGTTGCCCTGGTATACTTTCACTGGTTGCCTGTTCCCTGCCTGACACCTTCCACTGGCTGCCTGATATACCTTACTGGCGCACTGCCACTGGCTTCCTGGTGGCACTTCACTGGCTGCCCTGGCATCCTTTACTGGTTGCCCTGGTATACCTTCCACTGGCTGCCCTGGTATACCTTCCACTGGCTGCCTGGTATACCTTCACTGGCTGCTGTTACCTTCCACTGGCTGCCCTGGATATACCTTCCACTGGCTGCCCTGGTATACCTTCCACTGGCTGCCCTGGCATACCTTCCACTGGCTGCCCTGATATACCTTCCACTGGCTGCCCTATGCCCACCTTCACTGGTTGCCCTGGCATACCTTCCACTGGCTGCCCTGGCATACTTTCCACTGGTTGCCCTGGCATACCTTCCACTGGCTGCCCTGGCATGACCTTCCACTGGCTGCCTGGTATACCTTCACTGGCTGCCCTGGTATACCTTCCTGGCTCCCTGTATACCTTTCGCCATTGCCTGGTATACCTTCCACTGGCTGCTCCTGGCATACCTTTCACTGGTTGCCCTGATATACCTTCCACTGGCTGCCCTGGCATACCTTCCACTAGGTTGCCCTGGCATACCTTCCACTGGCTGCCTGCCATACTTCTGTTGCCCTGGCATACCTTCCACTGGCTGCCCTGGTCCTTCCTGGCTGCCTGGTATATGCCTTCCTCTGGCTGCCCTGGCATACCTTCCACTGGCTGCCCTGGCACACCCACTGGATGCCCTTGCCCTGGTATACCTTCATGGCTGCCCTGGTATACCTTCCACTGGCTGCCCTGGCATACCTTCCACTGTGCCCTGGCATACCTTCCACTGGTGCTCTGGCATACCTTCCACTGATTGCCCTCCTTATACCTTCCACTGGCTGCCTGCGCTTCCACTGGATGCCCTGGCATACCTTCACTGGCTGCCCTGGCATACCTTCCACTGGCTGCCCTGATATACCTTCCACTGGCTGCCCTGGAATACCTTCCACTGGCTGCCCTGGTATACCTTCACTGGCTGCCTGGCATACCGTCCACTGGCTACCTGGCATCCTTCCACTGGCTGCCCTGGTATACCTTCACTGGCTGCCTGGTATACCTTCCACTGGCTGCCCTGGTATACTTTCACTGGCTGCCTGGTAAACTCCACTGGCTGCCCTGGTATACCTTCACTGGCTGCCTGGTATACCTTCCACTGGTTGCCCTGGCATACCTTCACTGGATGCCCTGGTATACCTTCCACTGGCTGCTCTGGTATACCTTCCACTGGTTGCCTGGTATACCTTCCACTGGCTGCCCTGGTAAACCTTCCACTGGCTGCTCTGGTATACCTTCCACTGGTTGCCCTGGCATACCTTCCACTGGATGCCTGGTATACCTTTCACTGGTTGCCCTGGCATACCTCCACTGGCTGCCTGGTATACCTTCTGGCTGTATACTCCACTGTTGCCCTGGCACTTCCATGCCATTGCCCTGGTATCTTCCACTGGTTGCCCTGCCTACCTTCCACTGGCTGCCCTGGCATACCTTCCACTGGTTGCCCTGGTACATACCTTCCACTGGTTGCCCTGGCATACCTTCACTGGATGCCCATTGCCCTGGATACCTTTCACTGGTTGCCCTGGCATACCTTCCACTGCTGCCCTGGTATACCTTCCACTGGCTGCCTGGTTACCTTCCCACTGGCTGCCCTGGTATACCTTCCTCTCGGCTGCCCTGGTATACCTTCCACTGGTTGCCCTGGCATACCTTCCACTGGCTGCCCTGGCATACCTTCCACTGGCTGCTCTGGCATACCCTTCCACTGATTGCCCTGATATACCTTCCACTGGCTGCCCTGGCATACCTTTCACGGTTGCCTGGCATACCTTCCACTGGCTGCCCTAACCTACCTTCACTGGTTGCCCTGAGTATACCTTCCACTGGCTGTCCTGGTATACCTTCCACTGCCTGCCCTGGCATACCTTCCACTGGCTGCCCTGGCATACCTTCCACTGGCTGCCCTGGCATACCTTCCACTGGTTGCCCTGGCATACCTTCCACTGGTTGCCCTGGCATACCTTCCACTGGCTGCTCTAGCATACCTTCCACTGATTACCTGATATACCTTTCACTGGCTGCCCTCCCATACCTTACACTGGTTGCCCTGGCACACCTTCCACACGCTGCCCTGGCATACCTTCCACTGGCTGCCCTGATATACCTGCCACTGGTTGTCCTGGCATACCTTCCACTGGCTGCTCTGGCATACCTTCCACTGTTGCCCTGGTATACCTTCCACTGGCTGCCCTGGCATACCTTCCACTGGTTACCCTGGCTCCACTGATTGCCCTGATATACCTTCCACTGGTTGCCCTGGCATACCTTCCACTGTCTGCCTTGGTATACACTACTAACACTCCTTCTTACTTATTACTTCTCGTCTTCCACTTTTCATTCAGTCGTTTTCTTGTTTTATTGCTTATTAAATGTTATCTCTTAGTGTCTCAAAGTTATTATCTATCATTATATAACAAATATATTACATTCCCTTAGTAACTCCCTTCCTCTCATGAACATTGTATATTTTGTCACCGAAACATTTTTCTACTGTAAATTATTCCTTCATACGCAGTTCAAGAGCGATTACCTGTCACTTAGTTATTAGTGTGAAATTATTAAAGGGGGTTGGTTCTATCGTTGCTGCAGTATTAGTGGGCGACCTTATTTAGTCGTTTCTCCGTTAACTGTAGCTTATTGTTCGTTACTTCTTGGTAATTGGTTATTTATTGACAACTTACTGTCATTATTCATCCAACGGTAGCCTGTAAGTTGGAAAGTTATCTAAAGTCCTCACAAAACATTCACATCACGGGCCATGCAGGAATCATACCAATAATCTAATACCTAGAAGATATGGCCCCACACCCCTACTTCTGTTACTTCTTGGTGCGAACTTGGAGGCCATAAGGTATAATACTCTTAGGGTTAATCACAAATGATCAACCGAAGGTCATTTAGTTGTTTCTGATGTCATTCATCATACATACCGCAAGAGGTTTTCATCAAGGTTACTGTAGAGGATAAAATGACGATAAATGATCTTACATAGTGTTTGCATCTGGGGAAAAAATATCTACTGGTGATCACTTTCATGAAATAAAAGCCAGAAAAGGCTTGTTAATCAATCTAGTTTAGACGATACGAAGAGAAATACACATCATCTATAAAAAAAAATAGCTATGAAATTAAAAAAATAAAGACCGTTAAACACCAGAATAGGAAATGAAATTATACGTAATGCAGTTTGTTTATATAATACTCAATTAAAAAATGCACTTACACTTAGGGCCAAAAAATCAGAGATTCATGTACGAACGAGTGCAAACTTCAGCACAGGTGCGTGAATGCTCCCCTTGACTTGGGTCGATGTTAGGGTGTAAAAAAAGTTGAAGAAAGAAGAAAAAAAGGATGAATAAGAAAATTGGAAAGACATAAAAAAGGAGTAGTAACAGAGAAAGATTATGAAGGGACATAGAACATATATAAAGAAGACGGAAAGAGAAATAAATAAATAAAGAAAGAATAAGAAGATGAAATAAAGAAAATATATTTAGAAAGTGATGCCAATACCCAAGACCCCAAGCAATGAAGCGAAGAATAACATAAATAATGAAAAATCACCCAAACTCGGAAAAAAACATACAAAAACAGAGGGGTGGAGAGGACTGCATCCCCCTCCCCCCGCCGCCCCAGGTATGAAAAGAAAGTGTCACCGTATTCACAAACTGGAGAATATACGAGTCCGTGTAAAATTGTGGCTGCAGTTTACGACCGTGTGTTCCTTCCTCCTTTACTGCCAGTTCCTCCCGCCTGCCATCCTCTCTTTCCCGCCACCCTTCCGTCTCTCTCGTCCGCCCACCTCTCCTACCCCTGCCTCTCTCCACACCAAGTATTCGTCAGTCCTTAGTTCGTCTCTTTTGTAACCGTATGTCCTGCACCAGCCCCCCCCTCTCTCTCTCTCTCTCTCTCCTCATCGCCTCCAGATCCTCCACCCACCCCCCCCGTTCTTTATATTCCTCCTCGTCTTCCTTCCTCTCAATGCCACCAATTCCACCAGCGATCGTTCCATACCTCCCTTCCTTTCTCTCACTTCCTTTCCTATTACTCCCCCTTGTTACTCTTTCTTTACCTTTTCCATTACCTACGCTTTTTTTGCTTCTCTCTCACGTTACTCTTCACTCACTTATACCTATTCAGGGCATTAGTATGATGACTGTTATGTACATTTAGGGATGACACATGCAATTAAAGGGCAAAAGTATGATATCTTATTAGATATATTTATGGCACAGAATGAGACAGTAATCAGGGTATGGTTGAGTGAGCTGGGTGCTGCTCCAGGTATCTAATAACCTTGGTTTAGTCGGCATGATCTGAACTAATCGTTGTGCAGGAGGGAAAAGCGGTTGAAATTTGGCTTGATTGTGGTTGACAGTCTAAGGGCTTCCAGGCTTTCATGTGTTTTTCCAGGTAGAGTTCCACATAGCAAGCAAAAATATTATTTAGGTAAAAATATTGGGTAAAAGAATAATGTTTTCAGCACTTCCCTCTTGATGGCGAATCAATCATCGAAATAAAAACGAAGAAAAAATACGACATGTTGTTCAGATCGTCAGGATAAAATGATTGGTATTAAATTTGTGAACCTTTCATATTTTCTTACAAGTATCGTAAGCGTTTTTGACGGGAAACTCCGTGAACATTAAATCAATCAATAATTTATTCAGTTACACCCTTAAAAATATCAAGATCATTCGATGTAGTTGCGGATATATATATATATAAAAGTTATTCTCATTAGAAAAAAAAGCTTTGGTATACAGTAACCCTGATGTTTAGTTGACGTTTTCTTAAGTATTCATATATGAGCTGCTGTGGGTCACCTTCTGTCCTGAAAATTCAAAATAGTTACCTTACACATCCATTTATTCCACCTTAATTAAAAAAATACATAAATCCGACTAGATACATTTTCCTATCTGCAAATCATCGTACACTATTAATTTACATATACAATGTTAACTTATGATTGTCAAATGTTTCATCCTTTAACTAAAAAGTAAAATGAGTTTAAAATAGAAGTTGATTAAAGGAGAGAGAGAACAACTTAACTAGTTGAATTATATCTTTAAAGAAACAGTTAGATGAAATAGGAAAAGGATGATAAACTACCCTGACAGATCTAATACTTGAGAATCATTCAGACAAATATAATAATTGGGAAATGAAGAGGGAACAAGTCATAAGAAGGACGAGGGACTGAGAGAGAAAAGAAAGAATGAAGAAAGGTGGAATGTTCAGAAGGAGAGACAGGAAAGGTGTGAGAGGAAGAAAAATGAAAGATAAATCGTAGGTTAGTGGGGATTGGGGAATGAGAGAGAGAAAGAGTGGGAGAAACAGAGGAGGAAGGATAAAAGAGAATGAGGAAGAGGGTGACGGAGGGAAGGTGTGAAAGAGGGAAGGAGGGAATTTAACTAGCATATAATATACATTCACTTCTTAAATTTAATTTATTTTATTTATGAGTCACTGTTGAATAAGTACGTGTATGTGTATGAACATGTAAATGACCAACAATGAAACTAAATATATAGATAAATGAGGTTTGAAATATATAAATATATTACAAAAGACTCTAGACTTTAAGAATCACATGGAGGGTTTAAACCACTAGTGTATGAAGGCAAAAGAAAAAGAAACTTGAAAATTATATTATGTAAAAAACATAACAAAGGAATGCTGTGAATTTTGTTACCTGTTAAACGTTTTAAAGTTCGTGACACCTGTTATTGTTGGCTATAATTACTTAGATAAAAGTGAATATAAGAACCACTTTATCTCCGCAATAAAAGTCACGTGTCAATATTTAC